CCTTTTTGAAAAAACTTGTTGGCAGGACATCTAAACAGCAAGAGGAGGAGTTCAGTTGACCTAAGATGTCAAGTTGACCTAAGTCAGTTGACCTAAGTTTTTTTAATTTGAAAACAGTCACTGTGCGTACTACAAGAAAATATTTTTATGTTTCTGTGTGTGGAGTGAAACTAGAACTGAAGCAATGTGCAAAGATAAAGCAGTTCAGAAACAGGTATAAAGATAAGGTTTTCGTTAGGTATAAGAAAGAGAGAGATGTTTGAATGTCAATGAATGTCTCTGGTTAATTAGTTGGTACTCCAGGTTTATTCAGATTTTGCAATCAACACACCAAAATTGGAGGTATTTGGATTTTGTATTTCACACAGTGTATGTAAATGCAAGTAAACGTGAAATTATAAATATGTATATTGTTGTTATTGAGGTTAATATCAATAAAGAGGCGGGATAAACAATAATGGATTTACTGGCAAAGAGTGGGGTTAAATAAGTGTGCACTTCTTCCCACTCTTTTGGATATGTCAACTAAGTCAGCCAAAGTGAAGCAGTGTATTTTGCATGACTTTCTGTGTACTGCTTCCATGTTCAAAAGAAACTGAACTAAACAGCAAACAAATAAATGCCAGGTCTCTCTTGGAAATGAGATTTTTAATCTCAATGAGATTTTTTTTCCTGGATAAATAAAGGACTAATAATAAATAATTGCCATAGACAATTTCATCCATGTCTCATCCATGGATGTTTGATTGGGGTGAAATTTGGGGTGAGGTCACAGTGCACTAGTCGCAACATTTTTATATTCATGAAGCCAGTCAGAGACTTGTGAAGAAGATTTTCATTTATTTATTCAAAATTTCCTTTAATTTGATTCACATTCAAACATAAATCATTTGTAAATCTGCGATTTGCTAGAACTACAGTTAAAGTTTCATAGTTTTCTAGGATTACTGCTGCCTTAATGAACTAGTAAAACATAACTAATTCTTTGATTGCAATTAGCAAATAAAATAACTCATCACAACAGTAGTAACGAATCAGTATTCGTTATGTAAATACCAACAGACAGCAAAAATACTTAAAGTAAGAGTGCCAAAATACAGCAATCACGGGAATACAGACTGACAACTTAGAGCGCTATGTGTAATAAAGATGCCCCGCATGTAAATGAGTCCGTGCAGCATCAGCTGCTGACAGTCTGAGAAACTAAATAAGACTTTTGTGAAAATTAAACCTACCTCTTCCCCGGTGTTGGTTTTCGATGCCAGATTTTACCCTCCTCTTTGTTCCCAATGTCCGTCACCTCCATTTTCAAAAAAGTCCACACATTTCAGGAGGTAAATTTACAAAACACCGCTTGAGTTAACTTAATGTCACTATGATATAGCATGGCTTCCCCGCTAGCAGGTTAGCCGGCTAATCTTTTTACAGGCGGGGTAAACAGCGGCAAATTTAAAAGAGTAACATTGACGAAGTGCGGTAATGAGAGAAACCGTTAATGCCCTCGATTAAGGCTTAGCAATGTAATTCAGATTTAAGTAGTGCCCTAAAGGTTTAGCTGACCCCCTACGAACAGGTTGTATTCACTTGTTATTGTTTTGTTTATTTTATTGGTTGGGTTTAAGAACAGTTATTTTGTCGCCCAAAATTGACGAAATACGGCAGAAGGCGTGGCCAAGGAACATGAACGCGAGGTTTTTTTCACCCCTGTAAATTTCTTTTTCCACAAGACCCAGAAAAAAGTGAATATTGAGTAATTTTTTATTTAAAAATAAAATTGAAAAAAAAAATACGTGACGTTTATTTATGTATTAGTGTATATTTGTTTATTTTATATATTTATTCATACATTCATCTACATCCACACAATAAAGCTCCGAGTTTTTCAGTTATTCTTTTTATTATCATAAGTTTTCTTATCTCATATGTCAGACCTCCAAAAGCCATTCTAATACTTAAGTATGTAAGTAAAATATCCAAATCCTTCACCCACTTCTTTAAAGGCAGAGTGAAAGATAAAAGGTAAACTCCAGCAACTGAACCCTGAACTGAACTGATAATTAATTACGATTAACTGATCGCCACCACTTTTTTAAAAAGCATTATTTCGTGCCCAGTTCTCTTCTTGTGGTCTGTTTTTAGATCTCCACAGGGGGCTGCGAGAACGGCGTCGTTCGGCACGCCTCTTTGTGTTGCTGGCTGCCTCTGGATGGTCAAGTGAGCGTGTTTGCAAATTTCACAGGAAGTGCAATAAAATGTAAGGCAAACAAGATATTGTTAGATACTGAAAACACATCCGGTTTAAATTGTTAAATTAAGAGCTTTTTATAAACGAATTTGGTCAATATATGTGCAAGCACACACGGGTTGGCATGTATTTACACTTTATCGTCAACTGTGCACATCCTTAATATTATAAATGACCCCACGAACTGATCATACTACCTAAGGACCTTTGTAACACTTTTACACAGCGCGAACAGGAATGGTTTCTCTAAAATTCTTCATTTTATGTGTGTATCCAATCACAAGTGCTGTTTTCTGCAACAAGCGTTTAACTTTAAAATGAAAGCATTTCAGTAAGCTCAAAAATGCGTAATTTTCCATTATTTGCCTCGGATAAACGTAGTTTGTTAATTGGTAATAATAATTTAAATTATATTTTTGATTTTATTTGTCTCTAGTTCAGTAATAGTCATATAGTAAGTAAAAAAATTTTTTTGTTTTATCCAGTCTGTGGTAACAGTTCTCGAATTGGGTTTTACTTTGGAGAGCTAAACCGGATGTTTCCTTTCTGATGTCAGTGGCTTCATCGTATTTTGAAGCTAGCTCACCGTGATTAGCCACGTCATGTAAACTTAACAGTGGAGCAGTTGTGATATAAAGACAGGAAGCAGTCGCTGATTTGGGAAGGACTTTAGGGAATTGTTAAAGAGGAAATTTTATTTCAGGTCTCAAAGTTGGCAGTAATCCTATGGAAAGATGTCAGATATCGGGGACTGGTTCAGAAGCATCCCTTTCATCACCCGGTACTGGTTTGCTGCCTCCATTGCTGTTCCCCTTATAGGCAAACTGGGATTGGTTGATATCAGGAATCTCTTGCTATTTCCGGAGATGGTCTTCAGCAGATTTCATGTGAGTGTTTCTTGGTTTTTGGTAACTTGTCTGTCTGTTGGATTAGATAGCGGATAAATGCTGAGTTACTGTCTTTTGGAAACTAGGAGTTAGTTAGCAGGTGGCTAGCACTGCTAACTCAGGAGGCCTGAGTGTGGGGCAACCAATGAGAGGGCGAGACGCAGGAGGGTGGGACTTCCGGATGTTGTCAAAATGCTTGGATATTTAGTGACGCTGAAATGTAAACCAAATATGAAAACAAATACATATTTTTTTATAATTTAATTACCAGAGAAGTATAGACATGTTTTATTTTAAAGTATTTGTTGCGGAAATATAAGTTAGTTTTAGTGCGCTCTCGTCCACAAGGTGGAGACATGTATTGCAGGGGATGTTATGAAATTAGGCCCTCAGGCACTGTGAAGGCCTCTAAGTGGGTTCGTGCAAGCTTAGGGCATAGGTGTAAATCAGTAATCAAACACAGCTCAGGGCAAAGGGAATCGGTCAGTGTGATCACTTTAAGTGCTGAAAAGTAGCTACCAAGTAATTCACTTCATATCAGTTCTAGTACTTAACTTAGAAGGACATGTCATGATTTCCACCTTCAGTAATTCGAAATGTATCTCACATCTATAGTTAAGGGATAATCTGAAGAATATTAAATATAAATAATTACAGCATTAATACAGTACTTTGCTATGTACTTTGTTTGCAGTGGTATTACTGTGTTTTCTTAAGTGAAGGAATAAGCTTCTTTTCACTGAACAATCCATGCACCTTCTGGAATTATTGGACTTTCTTGCTGTGGATTATTAATCTTAGGACATGTTGATTAAAACCACAGTTAATTTCATTATGTAGGCAGCCTATTGTATGGCTAATAAAAGAAAGCAAAATAAACTGAAATAAAAGTGCAGTAGTGCAGAGTCAGTATACTATATATAACCCCCTGATCTTTATGAGCCTATAAAATGTCAAGTTATAGTTAAGATGGTCACGCAAGCTGTGTGAAAGCATTGAATATGAGACTCTGTTGATTGAAAAGTTATTAACCTTTTGTCAAGTCCCAAACAACAAAATAAGATTTTTTTTTCTTTTTTTTTTGTTTGACGGCACAAAAACTGGATAATGGTATGATCAGACACTCCTTTAAATTGTAACTGCATCTTTTCTTTTGCCTCCGGATTAATGGGAATTTAACCATTAATTCCCATTATTTTTTTTAAATGTGGTATTGATTCAACTTCTTTTACCAATTTTCAAATATTACTGTGAGGAAACACACACTCTGCAGAGGAATACCACACAGGAAGTAATAATTTGCAACCCACATGAGACTTAATGTGTTACAGACTTGGTGGTGAACATCTGGATGTGCAAACAGGCACAGCGACGTTGATGTCTTACTGATTTTTCTGTTGGGTTAATAACTCTTCTGCTTATTTCAGATCTGGAGACCAGTGACAGCCACTCTTTATTTCCCAATAACTCCTAATACCGGCTTCCTGTACCTGGTCAACCTTTATTTCCTCTACCATTACTCCACTCGGCTAGAGACAGGTAAGCTCACCGGCCTAGGCGGTTTATAAACAAACAGTGCTCTTTCTAGCATCTTGTTTTCATTTGTGTCATCATCATCATCTTCGTCCTGATTTTCTTTTTCTTATACCAGGGTCATTTGATGGCAGGCCTGCAGACTATATCTTCATGCTTCTCTTCAACTGGATCTGCATAGTTGTATCCTTTCAAACTGGCAATTCCTGTTTTAAAATCTCACATTTTAATCCACCTAACAGGAAATCATTCTTTCATCATCCAGCTACCTCCCTGTTAGCCTGTTTCCCACTCTACCATTCATTCTGACCCCTCCTGCATTTCTCTTTCATCTTCTCTCTGCCTCTCTCTCGTTCGCTGCAGCAGTGTGCCATGTCAGGGTGGCTCTGTGCCAGCGGCCCAGTGTCAGTCTGCCCCTGCAGAGCAGAGAAACCTAATCTAGGTCACATGCAGCACCAGCAGTACACTCAGGCCCACATCTCAGCTCTCTGTCTTCTTGTGAGAGTTCAGCTCAGATTGGGTGCTTGCTGCTCAGACATTTCTCCTTTATATGGGAAAAGCAGCAAAACTCTACCTCATCCAAACAACATGTTCAGTTTTTGTCAGTTCAGCTAAATGGTGAGAACGGTTAAAAAAAAAAAAAAAAGTGTGGGTCTCCCATGCCAAGGTCAGATGCCTTGCTCAAGTGGAAACGGCAGAGGTGACTGGCAGCTTCCAAAAACTGGTGTAGGGGATTTGAACTGGCAACCTCCCGGTCCCCAGCTGTTCTAATTGTACAGCTCCAGCTGTGATTCTATTGTTGTCGTCCTTGACTCAACCTGCAGATAACCGGGCTGCTGATAAACATGCAGGTGAGCATCTTCCTCATCTGTCTCTCTCTCTCTCTGCATGTAGACTGCTGTAGCGTCTATATAAAGCATTTGTTTACAACCGTCCTTTGAAATCTTAGGAGTGTTTCATAACACAAGACACCCACTTTAAAAAGGAAAGGTTTACATTTTGGAGAAAAAAAATAAACACTGCAGAGACGCTGCCACCTGCTCCTCTAAAGCTTACTAATTTATGCGGCATTTCACAAAGCATATCCAGACCATTTCTTTCTGCTCCTGGCCAAGAAGTTGCATTAGGAAAAAAATAAAATTGCACAGATTAAAGAGCAGCGCATTAACTATTAGGTGTGCTAGTAAGTGATTTGACTGTCTTTGCACAGAGCCAGGCTGTTGTGTTGTTTGATGGTATGTGACAATGAACTTGTGGTGGTCGTGGGATGACAATGTGCAGAAAAATGAATCAGACTTACATAAACTAGATGTTTTGCAAACGTACTGTAAAAATACTCCTGGCTTGTTGATTGTGACTTGCTGGTTTTGTTCATCTTTTCAGCTGCTGATGATCCCGCTGATTATGTCTGTGTTGTACATCTGGGCTCAGTTCAACAAAGACACCGTGGTTTCCTTCTGGTTTGGAACGCAGTTTAAGGTACGCCCATCAAATGTTGAATGCTCTATCTTCTTGTCAGGTTCACGTTTCACAGAAATATCAGAAAGGATAAAATACACATAGTTCCACCAATGACGTAACTGTGACGGTTTATGCTAGCTCAGCATAAATAATTCAAGGATTTTTATGAACACAATTTTCTGCTGCTTTGTTCTAGGCTCATTATCTACCTTGGGTCATTCTGGCGTTCAACTTTATCATCGGAGGATCGTAAGTAACAAATTTAGATCAAAGCCTTTAAATCTGTATTCCAGTCTGGGGAATAACTTGTACTAACTGTGTAATGGTGTTCCTGTGAGTAATCTTCCTCTCTTTGTTCTTGTGCAGATTTGTGAATGAACTGACAGGAAACCTGGTGGGCCATCTCTACTTCTTCCTCATGTTCAAATACCCCATGGACCTGGGAGGACGCGCCTTCCTCTCCACGCCAGAGTTCTTGTACGTTTGTGTGCACGCGCAGCATTTCAGAAGCGCCGTTTTAGTGTTTAAGTGTTATCACTGCATTTACTGAAGTGCACTCAGCTTTAAAACAACACTATGGAGCTTTTTATTAACACATCGCCTGTCACAATCCAGAGTTTAAACTCTCATTTATCTCAGTACACTTGGAGAATCTGCTGCTTTAGCCTTACTTTGTGAGAAGACTTAGTTGTTGTGGCTCTTACAGCAAATGTGCATTCCTGCCTAATGAGTCAGTTTTACAGTTTACTTCTTTGCAACTCTAAGACTGTTTTATCAGTTAATGTCATGTTGTAATTGTCACTGGTGGCCACACTGATAACTAACAGGCAAAGTTATATAGTCTTTTCAAACCAGCAGCACAAGGGGTAACCACAACTGTAATGACATGGGGTTTGAAAGTGTTTGTTGCTCGTCCTTGCAAGGTGCAATCATGAAGTCATCTGTGGTTTTGGCTCTTTAGAAGAGCTGCACTGCTTCTAGCAAGGCTCCCATATTTAGATCACTCTCTGAAGGTCCTAATCGGACCATGTGCAAGTGAGCATGACTCAGAGACGCTGAAGGAGATTCAGTCATGCACACATGGAAATGGCCAGACTGTCACAGAATGATTCAAATGCAGCAGTGGTGTTGGAAACATTGCTGCACTGCCTGAGGAGATGACCACGAAGGGGAGAGTGGTCCTGTTTAAATTGGGTACTGTTTATTTTTAATGATAGGGTTGTATTTCCACAATTATGAAACCCTCTGTTGCTCGGTTAAAATTTCAAACACAAACTGATATCTAAAGTGTCTTTTAAAAGGGTTGATTTTGCCTCTTGATTTCCCGTCCAATCACTTATTTGAGTCAAATGTTTGAAAATTAATTTCCCAGTGGAGGGGCTGAGGGTCTGTCACAGAATCATGTAACAACAAAGTCAAGGCAGACAACAAATTATCAAAAAACCGATAACACAGATATGTTTGTGTGGTGTAGCTATGGGTGCTTTTGTCACATTTAAAATTTATAATGCTAATTCTTCTCACCAAAACCAAACAGCTTTTGTTGCTTGATTGAGTTCAGAGATCACATTTTAACATCTCTCTGCAGGTACCGGTTCTTTCCTAACAGGAGGGGAGGGGTGTCCGGATTTGGAGTCCCTCCGACCAGGAGGCAAGCTCCCCAGGACAATGCAGGGGGACTCGGAGGACGTCACAACTGGGGGCAAGGTTTCCGACTTGGGGACGAATGAGAGAGAACTGCACTCTCTCAGCTGCCAGAAGAGCTGGGCAGCTGTTCTCAGATTTAAACGCTTTCTTCATTGAATTTGTTCTTGTTGAATCTTGAGACTTTAAATTTAATTCATGGTTAACTTTAGAAGATACAACAGGATCAAATTTGAGAAGGCACGCATTTCACTGCCCTGCACAGCAGGATCCGGACTCTGGCTGTAGGCTCTGTTCATTAAGTAGTCAGCTCTACTTTTACTACTGGAAATGTGTCCATGTTAGGAAGATAGAAAATTAAATTCTTCTTTTTTTTGTTTTGGTGATTATTCTTGACTGCCGCGTCTATTTTCTTCTTTCGTTCTCATCTTCTTCTTACCATCCCTCTTCCGCCTTTCTAACCCACCCTGCCATTGGACTGTCAAGATGAGAGATGTTGCAGCTGCACACCAGCACGCTGTGGATTTCAACTCTTGTGTTCCTCCCCCTCCTCCTCTCACTCTCTGTGATGCCATATCAGATTACATTGTAATTACCAATGCACTGGGAGCGTGCTCCCAGCAGTCCCCTCAGCAGAACATGGGCAAAGCTATTTAGAGAGCACTGTCTCCAGGTCTGATTCTACATTGGTGTGAAATGTTTGTGAGCCTCTGTGGCACAGACCTGGATCTTTTACTGATTTCATCTGAAGAAAAAAAAAAAATGAGGTAAAGATAGGATCCTGCTCTTTTTTTGTAAATATAACAATTGTTTATTGAAAGGTTGAGTGAGTCAGTGTGTCATTGTCTTACTTATACAGGAGACAACCATTCAGCCAATCAGGTGCCAACAAGACATTGGAAATCACCTTAATATAATAAAACACACATTTAGCACTCATTGTCAATATTTATCCATCTGGATATTAACTTGGAAATCATTTGTTCCCTAAATATCAGGAAATAGTCGGGGGAAGCAAAGTAACGTTTACAACAGCCACAAGTAGTAAAGTCAAAACTCTTTGTGCAAAAGTCTTGAATTCCTGATTTCTTTATATTTTGCTAGGAAAGTGGGTGCAGTGATTTATTACAATGTGCAAACATACATGGACATGCTGTATTTAAGGCCAAAAAAAAAGAGAGTAGTTGTACAGAATAGACTTCAGGGATGGTTCTCCAGACTTCTTGAAAGGATGTTGAGGTGCGGGCTCTGGCTCTGATGGTGTTCCATTGTGTGGTTTTTTTATCCAGGTATGATTTTACTGCATTTGTAAGTGTTTTTGTGATCATTATGCTGAAAATGGAGTGATTGCCAATCAGATGCTTTCCGTATTCTGTTACATGAGGATCAACGTACGTTTCTGTGTCCATCAATTCTGACAATATCTCCAAAACCACTGGCTGATGTGCAGCTGCACCCCGTGACAGAGCCTCCACCGTCCTTTACAGATGGCTGTACACACTCACTGTTTTACCTCTCTCCATCATGGCAATGAACAGTTTGAACCAGCAATTCATTTCAAATTTGGATTCATCTCTCCATAGGAACTGTTGCCAGATTTTCAGTTCATTTTTTGCGTAATTCTGCATGTCTCTACCTCGTTCGTTTCCCTTCCCTATAAATGGCTTTTTGACAGCCATCCTTTCACGGAGAACATTTCTGATGAGGTTTTAGTGAACAGTAGATGGATCAACTGAAGCATGGTGCATACATGGTGCTAGGACCAGCACCAAAACCTCATCCCAACTCTGTAGCATGGTGGAGAGAGTACATTTTGTGGCTGCTGGCCTGGAACATTTGCGATCGCCAAGTGAAACAATTCAAAATTTTGCCAGGAAATGTTACAGAAGACTATCAGAGCAGCAGTCAATCAACTGAAGGTACAACAGAATGGTTAAAGAGGGGGAAAAAACCTGATCTTGATTTAAATTCTGTGGTATGACTTGATGAGGGTTCTTCAGTCAAAACACTCCAGAAATATTGAAGTGAAACAGGTGTGGGTGGGGTTCTTCTAAATTCCTTCGCATCCTTTTCCCCAGCCCACACAGTGATAGCCCAGTTCATTTCAATGCAAACCCCCTACAGTCAGGCTGTGTTTGCAATTGTGACTTAGATGAAGATTAGACCACATTTTATGAGCACTGAATGCAGAAATTCTGTTAATGCCAAACCTTCACAAAAGGCTTTAAATTTGGTGTGTGTCACTTACACCGGAAGACCAAGGGAAGGCTTTACAGTTGGTTGTGTTTTTATTGAGTTACAGCAGACTGTAAGTAGAAAATGAAAATACAAGCTGTATTTCATACTAGCAAAAAAGAAAAAAACAAAATTACAGTATCCCAGATACATAACTGAAAGTGAAACTAAAGCCGTAGCAGCAGCAACAGACATTCAGCCAGCGCACAGCCATACACCTGCTGTTAAACCGAGGGTTAACTGAACTTTCTTTGACTGCACAAATATTTAATATTTATCATTAAATATTTATTTCTTTTAATCATTCTTGAAAATGAGTACGAAAAAAAAAAGTTGAAGTACATGCAAGTATTTCATGACAGCTTTGGGTGCTGTGACATTCCAAATGTCTGTCTGTACAGAAATCAGCTGAACCCGATCTGGCTTTGATCAGAAGAACCTACGTAATCACCAGCGGTGTGCTCACAGATCGCAGCTGAGCAAAGTGGATACCTGACACGGCTCAAGTAAAGGAGCTTTGATTATTGTGTGCCATGCATTAAAAGGTTTTTCAAAAATATGCTTTTGGCGTTTTCAGGCAAGTTTTTAAAAACACTGGACCGCTAAGCTGAAATCCTCAGCCCGGCTGTGCTCTGCCCACTTCTGAGGCCGACGGGAAACGTCTGATAAGAGCTGAAAAGGCAGCACGGTGCGATCGAACAGACACTCCGCCCTCCGCTCGGTGGAGTTAATCAGGAACGTGAACATTCTGTACTGTTTCAGTGTCTTGGACATGCCTCGGGTTCTGACGCAGGAGCGAGCCGATGAGGAAAGATAACAGAGTTTAGGATGTACGGAGCGTTCATGCATCCACCCTAATGCGGTTAGTCTTGGTCTGTGGCTGTTTGTGTTCATTCTCTGGTCTCCCAGCGGTGAAGCTGTAGCTGTGTTCAGTTTGCCCAAAAGAAAAAACAAAAAGATACCATCACTCCTACTACTTCCTTTGCTCTGACACTTCTGAGTGATTTCCATCTTCTCTACTGTAATTCTACAGAGGGCGAGTTAAGGTGCAGAAGACAAGCAAAAAGTTACAAAAAAGTTCCTAACAGTTTTCATTCAGGCGGTCATGACAATATCTATCACTACCACAGGGAAATATGCAAGTGCCATCAAAGTCTACTCATAATGAGTAGTGATTTTCAAAAAATACGTCTGATCTTCAGCAAATGACAGACTATATCATACAGTTTGATCTCAAAGAACAAAACCAAACCGAACATTCCAGGTTTTTGGGACAACAGTTAGCCTTTTTCTTTAACCCCTTAGCAGTCCTATTAGTCCCCTAAACCATCCAATGTCCCGTGGGCGGTACGTCCGACTGCTAACAGTTTTAAAAAAAAAAAAAAAAAAAAAAAAATTTCTCAGGAAAACTGTACAAACTCTAGTAATACAGAAAATATTTACAGGGCTCTTTTTTTTCTTAAAAAACAAAAAACAAAGAGAGCGAGCACTGTAGTAAGAGCAATGCATCAAGTCCAGCTTTGGCACTCCTCTAAATGTCAGGGTCTACGCTTCCATCAAGTGCTTTAATGGTGCAACTCCACAGTCCCCCAGGATGTTGGGATGACATCACAGGCAGACAATGACATCACTGCTTCCATGTTTGGTCATCTCAGGTCGTCGGTGACTCAGCAGTCAGTGATGTACTGTACAGAACCAGAGACAAAGCCTGAATCAATACTTGTGTTACAGTTCTTCCTTTCGTGTTCAAATTAAATGTGTTTCATCTGCTTCCCCAGATTAGAATTCAATATTTTTATGACAGTTTGCTGTTGTGGACATACAGTAGAAACAGAAATCTATTGTCATCTGCTCCCTTTGCTCTGCCTTCTTGTGACTGTAATGATTTGTGTGTGAACATGTAGTCCATCTCCATGCTAATTGATGGTGTCTGCTATCTTTGTGAAGGACCAATCAGAGGTAATTGCACACTAATAACTTCCTGGATAGCCGGAGGCTGCAGCTGTGGCATCTTAAAAAAGGAGCAGTTCACCATTTATTTAAGCCAAGCTTCACTTGGCATGAATAAATCTCTTAGCACGATCCATGTTTCCTATAGGATGGTTGCAGAGGACTGGAACATATCCCAGCATGAGTGAGAGGCAGCGAGACACCATGACACCTTTGTGGCAGACTTTGAAGGTGCAATGCTTTCACACATCAGTCTTCTGTTTTTACTGCAACAGATTTAAGCTCACACTGCTAACAAATAAAAAGGGCCGTTTCACCCAGTTCAACTCACCATCAACCAGTGACCCTCCCCGGTTGCTCCAAGGTCAGAATGTCCGTGTCAGTTGCCAACCTTTGTCTTTCCGCTCCTCCTTCACCATCCTCCCCCACAGCCAAGGTCACCTTTACCCACCTGGCAAGAAAGCAGACTGAAAGTTTGAACACAAACAGACTGCTTCTGGGAACTGGAAATAAAGAAAAGACTTTCTCTTTAAGCTTTGCACTGATGTTTCTAAGAAATGCAGCATAAACCCTTCATGAAAATCAGTAGCTCGGCACCCACAGCTTAGAGTGTCCATATGATGCGGTACTTCTGGACTGCTCTTGGAAAGGCATCTTAAAATAACTCCTCAGATAGGAGTTTAAAATAAATACATAAATAAAAATCAAATATTGGCAGCAAGTTTCTTCTTCTTTTTTTGTTCTGCCTAACATGACTCTGACAATAGAAGATAAACGACTTTCTTTGCCTCTTCTTCACTCACCTTCCTTTTTCAGTGGCATTTGAGCTGTTCTGGTCCGGCCTGGTCCGGCTCAGGTCGGTCACACCATCTGCCAGTCTGTCTGTCAACCGCTGGACTTTGTCCTGCTCTGGCTGTTTGGACTGTTCTGGAGTAGATACTTTCTCAACAGCCTTGTCCACTGAACACAGAGATGTAGAATTTGGAAAATGAGCAAAAGAAGCACCAAAACAAGCCAAAGAGTTTCAGACTCTACAAAAAAGTAAAGAAAAGGAAAAAAAAAAAAGACACTAATCTATGTTCTCCTCCAAAACTTACCTTTTACAGCCTTGATTTCCAAGGAAATGCACTTGTTCTTCTCAGAACTCTGACCGTTCTGTTCCTGGCTTGCTTTCTGCTTCTCTGCAACGCCTTGGAAACCTTCCATCCAGTCGAGAGTTTCGCCGTTCTTCAGTGCAGAGCGGTGGTCCTTGAACCAGCGTACAATGTCAGTGCGTCCAAGACTTGTTTGCACCTCCAGCTGACTGTACTCCTCAGGAGATGGCCACTGGGTCCGGCAAAACGTCTGTCATGGCAAGCAACAAAGATATACGTGGAATTCAAAAATTACAAAGCAAAAACAACATGTTTTATTGGGCCTCTGTGCTCTTGCTTCAAGTTAAACAATTAGCAACTAAATAACTTGTCATACAAATATTAACAATTGGCTTATGGATTATTAAAATCTGGAATGCAGTGTTATACATTAAATGACAGACAAATGACATGTAAAAATTTGTAAAGAGCACCAATAACCAACCAAAACTAACTACAAAAGCCAACTTAAAAATGCTCACCTGAAAGGAACATGTAAATATATTTTATGTACTTTGTCATTTTGAACGCTTTATTTTGGATAATGTTATAATGTATTTGTTCCACCCTGGAAAACACACGCAGTGCTGGCACACAGGAAATGATGTCAATATCAATCACAGTATGTCCTTTGGCGATTAGTCACATGACCTTTTCCAGCAGAAAAAGGCGGCAGCCTTGACAAGCAGCAGTGAAATCAGCGGGTTACATGTGCAAGGAGCTCTTTTGTAGACGCAGTATTACTGCTTACACTCCTCACCTCCTCTACAGGACATCACCACTTGGATGACAGTCAATCAGCTCAGTATCAGTGGCAATAAAAGTAAAGTTATTCTTATCAAAAGATCAAAAAGCCTCACTTTCCAGAATAAAACCTTTTGTTATCTCTAGTGGATGATTGTCACTCTAATCCCACATGAGTAACGTCTCGTGCTCAGCTTACTTCCACCTTTGTAACATTTCTAGACTTCGCCCTTTTCCTTCTTTCTCAACACAGCATACCAGCCTTGGTTCATAGTCCAGTCACCTCATTTGGATTATTCTAACTGCATTCTTTCTGAGGAGTTCTTTTCTGGGACACCAATTGGCTCCAGATGGTAGAGATCTCTGCAACAAGTCTACGGACCATATTACGTCCACCCAGCTCACTCGCTCCCTATTTCTTGGAACTTGTTACGATAGCACCTTCGTCAGCTTGACTCCTTGACAGAGTTCAAATATCAGCTGAAATCCCATTTGGTTCATTTACATATGATCCTGTTTTAGATGTTCTATGTTTAATATTTTTGTTATCCTGACCTTTCAATACTGTTCTTGTTGCTTTGTGTTGTAAGTTGACCGAGTGTTTTGAAAGGTGCCCACAAATAAAATTTATTATCATTTATTTTTATTATTGCAACTGCCAGCATTTACAGCAGGCATGTGCAGTGTGTGTTAATGGTTATGCAACATGTTATTAGGTGTTTTCATGTGGAAGATTATGTGAACAAAGTGCTAAAAATATACGCATGTTATGTGTGAAAACTTTCTGTTCCAAATTTGCAGAGTACGTGAAACTCATCTGTGTGTTACAGAGTCAATCATGTAGATTTTTTCTATATGATAACTGTCCACAATGTTTCACTTCTTTAACATCTCACCAACTAACTTAAAATATCTTTTCCTAAAATTAGGTTTACATTAGTTCATGTTTCTACTCTGTTGCATATTCTAACACTCTGCTATGTAATCAGCATAAATGGAAATGTGTCTTTATCAACTCTTACCTCCCTGAGGAGGGCGAGGGAGCGGCTGCTGATGGGAGCTGGGCTCGTGGAGGCTGACAGGATGGGAGGATGTGGAGAAGAGGAGCAAGATGACGTGAGGATGGGAGGCGATGCAGATGAGGGTTGGGTCGGAGGCCGAGGGGAGGAAGCGGCAAGCACAGGGGGGGAGGAAGACGAGGAGGAGGAAAGGACAGGCGGATGCGGAGAGGAGCGGAGAGGCTTCCCGTCCTGCTCTCGATGAGAAGCCCCATTAAGCAGCGCACCCGGCCGCTCTATTCTGTCCTCCGTGTTCTTAGAAGCCATCGTGAGTAAAGTCTTCTCCATGTTGTCCCTCAGTGCCCTGCGCTCCGAAAACCAGCAGTCAACCTCTGTCTTGGACAGCCTGGTCTCCTGGGCCAGCTGATCTGCAGGAGAACAATAGGAGTTCAATAGCTCACACAGTTTTATTTATTTAAGTTCTTTTTTTTTTTTTTTTTAAACTTGGAATTTGGTCTGTCTCTGGGGGTCTTAAAAAATGGCCTCATTAAAAATATTCCTGCTATTCCTGCCAACCAGGCACCCACCAGGGACGAGCCAGTAGCTCCTCCGGGGCGGAAGGGAATTAAGTCGCATGCTGTGAACTAGTAAAGACTGAAGAAAATATTACTTTTTTCTTAAAGAAATTTTAACATTTACATCCTAAATTTAGGACCATGATATAGAACATAACTAGTTGGCTAATACCACTTCACTTTTTAACGAGTACATTAAAAGTTCTGTAATTCACAACATTTTTTGACTGACACAGAGCGCTCTGTGCATAATTAACTCCTGATCTCCAAGGCGACTGTCCTATGTCTCTGATCTGCACACATCAAAAAATGTGGAGTCAGATGGTTTAACCACCAAGAAATAAAAGAAAAATTACATTCATTACATGACATCAGTTTCTCAGCAAATTTAGAAAGTTTGCAGATAACTTCTTTGGCTGAAGCCTTCAGTGCTCAAATGTTTTTGTCTACTGCAAGATCTGTGATGTGCAGGGGCTGGCCTGGTGTCTTGCTGTGGTGGGAAGGTTGAAGGTCATTTCCTGGCACTGGCCAGAGCGGGTTTGGTGCTGGATGGGGGATGGATCCACCCCAAGGATGGCATCCAATGGGTTCTGCCAGGTTGGCTTTGGACTGGGTGACCTGCAGCTGGTAGACTTATGGAAAAGCATTTTTCTTTTCAGGCCCTATCTAAGAGCTGCGGCTCTCTACCTTGGGTGGTATGGGTTGTTGTGGGACGTGGATCTATAGGGGCCTCTCCTTTTTCTTTCCCGTGGTCTGCCCCCCCTCAGTCACGGTGGAGATCAGGTGGGTACCTTGTGGGGCTGGGTCATATTGTGCCACCGCGGTTATGTCCCAGCACCCTGGTTGTGCTGGCTGGAGTCCTTCCTTTACTGGGCTCCGTGTCTGTTCACTTTCCCTCAGCTCATTTTTCTCACTTTTCCTGGGTGGAAATGGGACATGTTATCTGGCCTTTGCTGCGCTCAACAGGGGCACCAAACCGTGGTGGAGAGCTTCCTGCATGTTTCTAGCTCACCATACCAAGCTCAAAAAGGCCTAATGAGGTATCAGAAGAACACAAGTTGACAGGACAGATGTCTCCACCTGTAGCTGGTGTTACGTATAACATGTCAGTTTGCTTCCTGTTTTATATTCATGAGCAGGACACTTGCCAACACTTTCCTGAAGAAACGCGTTTGTATCATTTTGCTACATCCAGCTTTTCTGTGCAACCACTGGAGTTCATCATTACAAATTAGGAGTGTTGCAAGGCAGTGGGCTTTCTGGGCTTGGGCTTATTGTGATATACGTCACTGATGTTTGTGCAGTATTGCCCGGCAAAATTTAAACGACAAGGCTAATGTAAAACACTCCAACTTGACCCACAGCCTTGTTTTTTATTTTTTAAATACTTTTCCCTATCATGCACACAGCTATTCCCCCTGTGAGAGAGACTTTGCTGCAGGCTTTACCTAGCTCTGCCTCTGTTGGAGAGCTACTTTTCTGGAAACTCTCCTCCAGCGCCTTCAGCTGCTCCGATGACTTCCCCTTCACCCTCTCTAACAGTGGAAACTGGCTGGGGACCGCTTTCTTTACTGGGGCATCTTTAGGAAGTGGTGTTACCTCTGCTTTGACCAGCACAGGTGGAGGAGGAACACCTTCAAGTACAACAGAAAGAAATATTTACGGACCAAAACATGCTAGGATATTCTTCTAACACAACACATGTGAATATTATTTCTGGATGATACAGCACAATGCCTAGAAACTATCCTTAAAGGCCAGCTTTAGAGTATAATTTTCTAATTATGGTGATGTAGCCATTGAAATCGTTGGGTTACTTAATGTAATCCCTGGTTCTTTGATAACAGAGTGAGGTGTTTGACTATGGGAATCCGTAGTTGGTCACGCCGAGGCCATTCCCATAGTGAAACACCGAGCGAAGTTAGAAAAAGCACCACCTTTTAGTACTAAATGTACTTGTTGCACATAGAGAAAAATGTAGTTCTCTTGCCAAAAAGAGGCAGTTTGTAATGACTTGTCCGTTAGCAGATTAGTATCCAGTCTTCAAAGATATCATTTTCAAATTCTGTAGAATATTAGATAATAACAGAAACTCAAGCTAATTTAATTTAGGTGAAAATCAGGTCACAGTCACACCAAATGCGAAAAATGAAATCAGACACTGCAAAATAAAGATATAATCTTGTAATTTTTTATTGCTTATAAAGATAATAAAATACACTATTTTAGTAGGCAATGCTTCAAGCTCATGACGGGTCATATGAATTAGGAAAAAGAATTAGTTTCCACTGGATCATCTCCAAACTTTAAAGCAATGTATTGGTCACTGGAGGACATAAGCACTCTGTTTGAGCTCTTTAAAACATCCCCCCTGTACAATATTCTCACTTCACAATGAATGAAAAAGATTAAAATACTACACTAAATTTAAATGTTGACATGAGCACAAATAATCTATGAAAACAATACAGAGGTCAATATTAGGGATTCCCAAAAAAACAGACTGACGTCAGTATGTTGTAATAAAAACATCATAAAACACAAGTTTTAGTATAGCACTTGCCCTTCAGTGCTCTTGTTTTTCACATGTTTCCTTATTGCAGCACTAAATACGTCACATACCTTTGAGATTGAGGAGTCTTTGCTCACTGAACCACTTCTTTATCTCTCCTCTGGATAACCCGGTGGTCTCTATCAGCCTGTAAATCTACCACATGACAAGATACATCAAAGTAATAACTACAGTAATTTTCCCCTCAACTGCATGTTTGGAAATGGACATGTACACAGCAGGGATATAGGATATGGAAAGACCAAAGAGGACTACCTCTTCCCCACATCCATGAATCTTCCCAGAAAAGATTCATGGTTGTAGTGAAGGAGGACATGGAGGGTTGGTGTGACTGATCAGGATGCTATGGATAAGTCAGATAGATCCACTGTGGCAACAACTAAAAGGAGCAGCCAAAAGAAGAAGAAAAAAAACAAAAAACAAAAGAACCACCTGGGTGTTTGGGAAAAAACAACAACTAGAAAATACAAGCAGTGATACCTATCACGGTAGCACAAAAAACTTTTCTCACTCGCTTATTCTTACCTCATCTTCCTCAGGGAAAGGGCACTGTGTGTAGCTGGACCTCAGCACAGACAGCTGCTCTGATGTTTTATTGGGGTCAACGGTGAAACTCAGCACTTTAGATGATGCCAGCTTGGATGTGGCCATCGGGGCAGAGATGGTCTGAATGATGGAGGGCCGTTTACTCTCTGTAGCAACCGAAGGGGAGGCTAAGGGTCGTTTGAGCGACTGCGCCACCTGCAGTAATCATGAAAGAACATTTTCCATGCTCAAAGCTAAGGCAAGTTAAAACAGTTTGGTCAAAGGCAAACTTTACCCCTCCCCTGCTTCTGCTGCCTTAAAGACTGCCATTTTCCACCTAGAGTTTTGTACCTGGTTAGCCACTGTGAGTGCCAGTGGTGCACAAGTAACAGTAGAGCCATTGGCTACAGGAGTCAGCACAAGGCTGGTCTGTCCCAGGAGCTGACAGGGCAGGGACTGCAGGACAGAGGCTGCTGGCTGCATGGGTTTGGAGGGCGTGCTTGAGGTGGACTGGTTGGTAGATGATTGGGAGTTGAGCTGAGGAGTAACCACGGTGAAAGTCTGAGGCACGGAGGATATTGTACCATTGAACATTTTCTTCCTCGCTTCTTCCACCTGTCATTGAAAAACAGACATGTTATACATGTTCCACAACCTGATTGGTACATTTAGTGACTGTAAATTAAATACAGTTATTATTTATATTACTATGTTTTGTTTTTATGTTTATTGTGAAAAACCGGGACAAAAATAAACACAATTCTCCTACCTCCTCAGGTGACCAGCTGATACCCTGTTTGAGCCGCTGTGTGGTGAACCAGACTTTGATCTGCTCCTCTGGATGTTTTGATGCTGCGGTGAGCCACGAGAGCTCAGCCTGTGTTGGGTAGGGGAACTTGTTGAAGGACGAGATCAGCGTCAGGTTGTCGTCCAATGTGGGGTTGTATTTGGTTGTGTTGAGGGGCACTGCAATCTTCGGCACCTAAAAAAAAGAAAGAAAAAAAAAAAGTGCAATGCAACAATGAGATGCCCTCCTAAGAGTAAGCACTTGGTGACAGTGGGAAGGAAAAAAAACTATTTTAACAGGAAGAAACCTGCAGAAAACTTAATTCGCCATGTAAGCTATTCTGCTTTTATAGACTGCAGATGAAGATCGTGTTTTTTTGCATGCAATGATAAACTGCACAAAATAAACACTTATCCAAATATCACAAAACTAACTGGGTTATTGAGTGCATGGTTGTAACAAAGCATTAACAGCAAAATCTTCCAACTTTTGTATGGTTCTAGCGATATCGCTCTAACTACTATCAACTAAATATGGAGCTAAGCCCAAGAATTAGAGTTAGCATAGTTAGCACAAATTTTTCAGGAGAAAAAGCTAGCCAGGCTACTAAGCTAACTAATAATTATGTTACATCTTGTATAATTTAAAACAATGACTTTATTTAAAAAAAAATTGCTTCAAAATAAAGGTTTTAAATGTGAACAGAATGAAGTTAGTTGTTTCCACTCATGTCCAGGTAAGCTAAGCTAATTCCTGCTTACTGTTCCTCCACTTTTTCCTACCTGGGTATAGTTTAGAGGCCGCTGCAGGGAAGGCATGATGTGAGAAAGGCCGTCTGCTTTAAGGAGAGTCGACTCCGGGATGATGACCGTACCATTCACATTGACAGCTGTGATTGGTTTCTTGGTGAGATCCGCAGTTATTTTTCCCAACTGGGAGTCTGTCCGTTTGTTATCCGATGTCATTATTTTTGGTTTACCGATTTTGACTGTGGTGGGTTTGCTCAGTGGCACAGTGCCGAGTTCGTCCCCTTTGCCGGAAATGGCACCAGAAGTGTTGTAAATGACAGCGTTGTTGCTGCACCCCTCTATCGTCTGTTCTAAGATTGTCTGGTTGTTCATTTTTATGCGTTTAAATTTAAAGTTGCTCTCCCCTGGGTGGCACCTCTCGTTGTGTTCCGTCAGGGTGTCAAACTTTTTTGTGTTGAAGTTACAGACAGCACACAGATACAGGGGGTTAAGGATGACATTTGGGTGGTTTGCGTCTACGTGTTCTTTGAAAGTATTCAAATTCTGGGTAGAAAAGGGGCAGTATTTGCACTCATATCCCCCCTGCTGTCTGCGCTGAGGCTTAGAAACGTCTGGTGGCTCAGCTGCTGGTTTGTCAGGAGCCAGAGGAGGGTCAGAGGCCTTTTCCATTACATCCAAGTCCATGGATTGCTCGAGTTGTGTTGAACTGCTATCCATAGGCACCCCTTGGGTATGGTTCTCTGTTGTTGTCTGGCAGGAGAAGGTACAACAGAATTACATTTTTAAATCTGGATATATCAATTTATCATCTGAATCATGCCCACTGAACTCCAAACAAATCTAATTCTTCCTCCCAACAATTATTCAAATATGGATTACTAAAAGTAATTCAACTAAGCACACCATTAAAAAAATAAATAAAACAATACTGAAAACCCACATGCTGTTGGCAGAGCCTACCTCCATGTTCTGAGAGTCCTCCGCTTCATCATCCAGCTCCACCATTGTCTGCTCTGGTCGGATCATACAGGGAGTGGAGGCCTTACGTCGACTGGACATGTTGGTGGATGGGTTTGTCCCGGTGCTCGTGTTTGGCCAGGGATGCTATAAAGGAGGCTATGGCTGAAGTTCCAGGATGCAGGACTTGTATGCAAAGACCTTCTTAAGGTGCTGAAGTGCAGTCAGGAGGACTGCCTACTAGAGGAATACAGATATAGATTCTGAGGTAGCAAGCACCGGACAACTTGTGAGACTGGGATCAGAGTCTGAGGAACACTCACCCCCCCCCCCGCCCCCAGAGTAAAATTATTGGCTGGAGAAAGGAGGAGGACAGTAGGCGGTGAAAGTCTGGCAGAGATGGGACTCCTGTAGTGTCATGTAGGCTGGGCTCACTGACAGTGTCAGCTCCAGTGCTGGCTGATCTCCTCGGACTGCATGATAGGACGCTACCTAGATGGTAGAAAGTAGAGAAAAAGCAGTGTATTTTTTTATATATGTTTAAAAACATATATTTCCCTTTTCTTTGCATGTACTCTACTTCCTAAAACACATCTATGACACTATGATAACTTTAAAGACAAGGAAATCAAAGCTGAGCTAGAATGACATATTTGTATGCAGACAGCAGCATGTTACAGTTATATCAGCAAGGCATGTGTGGCCTAATGTGTCTACATAAGACGCAGGAATATATGAATAACATGAGTCATACCAGCTTTTCACAGGAATGATTTTAAAGAATTACACCAATAAATAAAATGTGTTGGGCTCTAAAATAAAATAAAATAAATGTTTTTTCTATAATGTACAATACGCAATGCAATGTATACTCAATGCACCACAAAGCAAGAACCATAAACATTCCCACAACATCAGTTCCCTTTAAACAGACACACACACAAAAAACCAACATGGGAAAGAAGAAACATGAATATTTTTGAGTTGGCACCAAACTGACCCATGTAGGGGTGCAGCACACCACTGTCCAAAGGAGGTAAAGCCAACTGCTGGGCAGTGAGCAAAAATGGCTCAAAGTAAAAAAGGTGGCTGATACATAAGCACAGCAGAAAGCTTACAGGTGGTCAGAGCAGTACAAAGCTGGCCCTCGAAAGACTGGGAAACAGAAAAAGTCCAACTTGGACTTTTCTGGCCAACTACCTTTTAGAAGCTAGGTGAAGTAAACTAGAGGAGCAAACAACACTATACACTGGAAGACTGATGCATAACTCTGTACTTCTTCATTTTAATTCATATACTGCCAAGTTCAACAACCGCTGGGAACTCAACATGCATGTTACATATTAAAAACAAACAAACAAAAAAAAAACCTCAAAGAATCAGATGATCACCTATTAGCAAACATGGCAATGGTGGAGAGAGAGAGGACGTCTATTTATCAGGAAGATACCATTCAGAGGGGTGCAGCTGCAACTGGTATGGGGGTTAAGGGATCAAGGGATATTTAAATCCCACTTTAAGTCTTGATGAATGAAATATTCAAGTTGAAATCCTTTACTTATAATGTTTTGAGCAGCATAATCATTTTTTCTTCTTTCAACTGCTTCCTTTTAAAGTTGCCACAGAGGATGAAAATCTTATTATTTCTGATCTGCATATTTGATTTGGCAAATATTTTGTACCTGATGCAACCCTCTAATTTACCAGCAGTACACTGGCTCGTGACCTCCTGTGGGTGGGTTGTCTATACTGCAATTTGGATTAATTATTCACTGATCAGACACATCTTCCTGTGTGTGGCTAATGAAAAATGAATATTGGATCAAACAGCAATTCTCTGAAATGGCAACTGAATAAATACAAATATGTGACAAATTAAAAGAAAATCCGAGATACTATACATCAGCGGACCCCAACCCCCCGGGCCTCGGACCGGTACCGGTCCGTGAGAGTTGAGGCTCAGGTGTGAAATGTATGGTTTTCAGGGTTTTTAAATCGGTTTTCAGCGTTATTTTGTTATCGTTTTTATCGTTCACTCGGTTTTCCTGGGTCTTTTCACGTGTGTTATGAATAAATCTTTTTTTTCGGTACCGGTACTAGTTTTATTTTGTTGCATTTATCCGCGACACCTTAAAGGCCGGTCCGTGAAAATAATGTCGGGCGCAACAAAGGTTGGAGACCGCTGTTATACATTACACCTGTGTTTTATTCCCTGCAACGGTCTCATTCGGTTCAAGGGCTCTCTGTCCATGGGGTTTGTAGCTCCCTGCGTTTAGTCTACAACAGAGCACAAACCTGGTCTTGTCAGGTGTTGTCCCAGCATCGATTCTGCCTCAAGACTCTGGACAGTTTGAGACCAGTGGACCCAAACAACGCCAGTATAATGCCATCCATAACAGTATGACTGGATCCCCTCACTAAAGGAGCTCACGAGTCCAGTTCTCCAATCTGTCACTCAAGCAACATTTATTTAAATCACACAAACCTGCTATTGTTACAGTCTGTCAGTTTCACTTGGCCTTCATAAGTGGCAGATATATTCAACTAGATGAGATGATTTTTATTTTAAGTTCCACAACAGTGCTCCAGTGTTGTCTATTTATGTAGAGTAAAACTTTTAATCATCACACTTTCATCACTGTGACTCGGCAACACGGCCGGTATGCAAATATATGCAGCTGACAGGTCTGCTGCTGTAAGACAAGTTGTCCTGAGAAATATTGACTAATCATTCATAAATCAGATCGTGCTGCCAAGCGTGAACAGAGTGAGAAACCAGAGATAAAGCAGCTTCTGATCCAAATCTTTTAAAGCTGTGAGCTTCTTTATTTGAGTTTTAGTGGAAATGAGAACTTCATAAAGTAGCAGCAGTTACAAAAAGCTGAAGGACTGAGAGAATAGGAAACTTTTCTTGGGTAATATTGTACTGAGTGGGAAGAGAGAGGAAAAAGAAAAGCTTATCTGACTGAAAAAGTCTATTGATATTCTGGAGGCCTCACGCTGAAGCTTCATACTCATATCCACATGAGTAAAAATCAAATGAGTCGATGCAGCAGCAGTGCTCTTCTATCAACCCGCATAAGCACAGAGGACGAGAAAACCTCTTCCAAATATGAATCCCACGTATACAACACCATTTAAATATTTCATACTTCTATTTACCCAGAAGCATCACATGGCAATTTAATCTGGACAGAAGAACGATAAGTAGTATGATTGTATGATGCAGGGCAGAGCAAGAGCAACAATGTGACTTCAGGGTAATCCATCAGCTGCAAATATTAGGCCTGAACTTCGATCATGCGAGAGTCTCACATACTTTTCCTGGATCTCTCCATCAGCTACACATTAATCAAAAGGCGCGATTCCCCTTCAACACGCCATCATTCGCAAGTCCACTCATTGTCCCGAGATATCTCATCCCCTCAAACGACCCACTGAGGCATCATTAAAATGCAGACTCATTACCATGGTGTCGCTATAGCAACTGTGGAGCTGTAGTCAAGTGGCTGCTACATCCTGACGGAGGCTGTATATACACACACACACACACACACACCACCCAACTGTGTTTGGTGCTTTTAGAGACAAAAACTAAAATAAATTTCAGGCTCAGTGTTTTGACAGTCTGGGAATTTGCAATCCTGCTGGATCCATACACTGGCACATTTCTTGTATTTTTCTGAGCCATTGTGGAAGGTCAAGGTACAGTCAGTGGGAAGGGAAAAAAAAGAAAAAAGAAAACCCACTTTCCAGAATATTGACTTCAAGGCATGAGCAGCACTTTGAAGAGAGTTCTCAGTCTTTTCAACATCCAAAAGCAAAGTGAGCAAACTTACAGTATGGCAGACAGTCTTTACACTACTATGTAAATATGGAGCTATTGTATGCCATGTTATTTCTGGCCATTTAACAAAGAGAAATACTATGGCTGAGCTCATTTAACAAAACGGATATAAAAATACTGCAGTGCTGTTTTTGGCTCAGTTTAAAACCTCCTTGGGATGCTTTCTATGTGGAAAAAAAAAAAAAAACATTTGAGCCCTCAAGAGCACCACTTACCATCAGTGTCTCTCACTGGCCTTGCCCAAAATCCAGCACTGTAGCACACATCTGGTAGGGCAGAATGGGAGATGCATCTGTCAGCTGCATCTGAAGAGCCACTTCATATGACCCACTGAACCAGTGCCGCCTCACCAGGCTTGAATGCATTTTTTGGATTTTTGCAGTTAGGTGATTGAGGCACAACAGGGCAGAGGGAGCACTGAGCTTAACCCACACAAGCAGGGTGGATGCAAGTTAAACGCTTTCCTTTACGCAACATCTGTATTTGTATGCTATAGCAATTTCTACGCGCCTCAACAATGACTCAGTGCTTTCAACTCGCTGCTCCAAGCTTCTCAAAAATGTTCTCCAAGTCACTGAATGACATCAGGAGGAGTTTGCTTCATAAGTCAGTACTACTGAGTCACCGGTTTTATTAAAAAAAAACAAAAACAAAAAACACGCCGAGAACAAGTTTGACTCAGACACTGCTCAGAATCTGATAGAAGTCCATCATATTACACAACATAAACACAGACCGCACTGCAGTCTGATTTGTTGCAGTCAAGTTAAACATGTGCGTGGACTGTCTCAAACAAAGAGAAAAGTCTGTGTAAATACTGGTGAACACTGAGGAAACACTGGCACAGACAGCCTCTTCCTCTCTCTACTCTGTCATTTTCAGCAGAGGAGGGAGGGGTTGCACTCCCGCTGGCTACTTGGGAGCCCCAAATCCAATGATGGAAAAGACAAGTACGATTAACAGCCACAGTGCTGAAAAACTGTCTAGGTTTATCTAGATACCTTAATAAACTTTTTAATGGATACTCTAAAGTCTCACGCATTAAAAAAAAAAAAAAAGTATATGTATATATTATCAGGTGTCCTTGAAAAGAATATCAGGTCTTTCCAGAATGATTACTTGGCTCTAAACACCGCAGCTGCAGAGCTGAACGAAATGTGAACTAGTTGGCTGTCTGAGCTTTCGCCATGGCAACTTTCACTTCATACCAAATACCAAAAATGTTAATCACTCCGTACTCAAACTTGGCTACGGCCACAACCCAGGTGAAACCTTCAGTCTCCCACCTGTTTGTTAGTGTGTCTAACCTCATCAGCCAGTCAGCGTCTGTGTGCAGAGTGAGCTCCGAGCTGGAGTCACAAACTCCCGACTGTCTGGATGCTCATTAAACTTGTATGAATACTCAGCCTGGCAGCCCCCTTGCCTGCCTGGCTGGCTGCCGTCTGTCTGTCTGTACTTTCCCGTTGTCTAGCTGTCTGTCTGCTTGGTGCATTATATTAGTAGAGCAGTCTTTCTGAAGAAGCAACATTTTAATGCTGCCAGGCAGCGAATACATTTATCATCCCAGGCAGTAATCAGTGTAAGATACACACTGGCATACATACTGAGGAGGACACAGGGGAAATCAATACAAACCCTGCATACC